TGCGCACAGGTCCCAGAAACCTCGAACATGTTCGAAGACTTCCGTTCATCCGAGAATTTTCTCCGACCATGACCCTCTAGTCCGCCTCTACAGTCCGAGAAACTCCGAATGATCGGAGTAAGATTTCATTTCATTTTTGTTCGTGATTTGCTGCATTGTAATTTACAAAAATCGGAAGTATATAATATAATAATTGCAAAATCTAATTTCGTTAACATAATCACCATCATCAAGAGAATTCAATATTCATTCCCATAATTATATCATATATATGGTAAATTTTTAATTTTTAATATTTGTATTATATGTATGTATATATTTTCAATTCTAATTTTAAATTTTAATTTGTTTTAAAATTTTGTCATATGGTGTTGATTGGTCACTATTGTGTGACGAATTTTAAATTTGTAAAACGACACACAATATTTTTACAAATATACAGATGTTATATCATATATAGATGTTATATCATCGAGTATTCCTAACCAATCTTGAGGTAATGTTGAAGAACAAATAGCGATCGATAGATGTAGCAAACCAACCAGAAACCGAAACTAGTTCAAACCAATCTAAACCGAACCAGATCGAGAATTGAGATATTCATCTCTAATGCGTAAGTGACATATAAGCATGGTTGACATTTTTTAGATCACTGAAAAACTGATTAACTTAGAAAATCAAAAACATTTCCATTCTTTGTAATCAACAATATTACATTTTTTTATCTCTTGCTGAGTTATTATTCTCTTTATCTCCTCTAAACTATATGTAAACTTATACTTTGTATACTGTTTCTCATAGGGAATAAAGAGATTATTAAGAATGATACTACATTTTTTTATTCGATATTAAATTTTTCGGTTCGCAATATATATATATATATATATACATGTATATATATATATTAATATTTATATATCTATGTATAATAATTTTAATTAAATATGAAATAGATGCATAGGTTACATGATTTAACTCATTTAACTCATATATTTAATAAGTCTATAACTATTTACCTATTTTAAAAAATTAACTAAATAGATTAATCCATTTGGATTTATAATCGGATCCCATATAACCCGAACCGATCCATTTTGACTATCTCTAGCTTTAATTCCCCTTTTGTTTTGTTTTGTTTTTTTTGTTATGTAATACATTGTGAATTAATAAAAAATTGTTGGTACATATTTCGGTATCTAAGATCCATATTACAAGCTTTCAAGCCTTAGTTGATGTTGCTAAGCCCAAATTAGGGAAAACAATACATTCATCATTGTCTATACTTGATTATACCTTACAAGAAAAGGATGTTTTTTGCAGAATGCTTAGTGTCCCGTAGTACTAGGAGTGTGCTTCCAATCCCCCTGATCCACTCGGATACCGATAGTGTATGCTACAGTCGAACCGTCTGCAAAAATAATAGAGATGTCAAATGGGCCGGCAGCCACGAGCCAATCCTGAACTAAACCTATTTTTATCGAGTTGGGTTAAGTAAATAGAGACCCATATAAAAACGGGCTGAACCATCACGAGCCAACCGTGATGGGCTATGGACCAGTCCAGAGGCTGAATTATTTGTTAACCTAAAGTTTCTCTTTTGTTTGTCAGACTTCTCTTTTCCACTCACCCACGCACGCTGCATTCTCTTAATCTCTTCTAGTCTTCTTCTTTCTTCAGTTTCTTATTTTTTCTATCAAACCCTAAATCGAAAATCAACACTCTTTAGTAAAAGAAACAACATCAATCACCATAGACCGTTTTGCCTCGACCTTTTTTCGACCATCGCGGCCTCCTTCGATTAGTAACTATTTCTCTCTCGTCTTCGAATCGTTCTCTCGTCTTTTCTCTATTTGTGTTTTGTCCTTGTTCGTATTTTCTGTCGATATGTTCGGTTTTGTGCTCGATTTTGCTGTTCGATTTGTATTGTGTAAGCCTCTATTTTCACTTGCTTGTGTGCTTAATGTTTTTTTTATATTTTATGTTTTTTATGCTTTTTTGTTGTTGATTATATCATATTCAATGGATGATATCATTGATGTGAAATATGAATAAATGGATCCAGATGAAGATATGGAATCGCATAATGCTTCTTGAGAAATCACAGTCGATTCGTGTAAGTGATACCCATGTTTCATGTAATCACTACAAGTTTGTATATACACAAAATCAGAAGGCATTTGCCAAAAATATGTCATATGAATCCATTGATTAAGAGTGGGAAGAGCATATTTAAGGATGTCGATGAAAACTTGAAAATAGGCAAGAAGTTTGATTAAAAAGTCGCCGAGGAGAAGTTAACGAAAGCAATGATATTATATGATCTCCATTCGTTTTTGTTGAGTATGAAGGTATCAGAGAGTGGGTTAGCTATATAATTCTAGAGTTCAAGTTCTGTGGTAGTAACACCAATTTCTCGTATTCATGAGTATTATTTGAAGCTCAAATCGAGGGTAAAATCTGATTTGGAAAGAATTCCTCATAGGATATCGTTGACTTCAGATTTTTGGACGGGTTCCACTGGTAAAGGGTATATTTGCTTGGCAGCGCATTATATTTATGAAAATTGGAAGTTGAAAAACAAGATCTTATCTGTAATACCCCGATTCCCGTATAAATTATTTAAATTATTTTCGGGAATAAAAGGAGGATAAAACAAAGCAAAAATATAGAGAATATTTCAACGAAGATCTAGAAGAAAACGACACTCGATTTGACTGAGAAACGAGAAAGTTATGAGCAAACGAAAATTGAGTAGAACCTGGAAATTCGGAATTCACAAGTTATTCGAGGTACGGACGTTTCGAGTTGTACCTCATCGTGTAAACATGAGTTTCCAATAATCTATTGATTGGACATGAAAGAGGACGTTCCAAGGAAGGTGTAGAAACAAACGTGCGCGATTCGGGTAAGAAACGAGTGAGAACGGAGCAATCGAAGTCAGCCGGGACGGACCAGAAATGCAGAACGGATGGACTGACAAAGGCAGAACGGATGGACTGCTAAAGGCGGAACGAACGGACCACGAACGAGCGAGGAGCTGGGCCGAAATTGGGCCCAGACCGTCCGTTCTAGGCCCAGAACAGACGGTCCACTGGACAGCACGCAAGTGGCCAACTTGCTGCTTTGGGAAGCGTATTTCTCGCTGACCAACCTCACCAGGACATTGCAGGCTCGACCTTGAATCTGGGCTTGAGCCCATTACGCCTCTCTCACGCGCAATAAACCTCCCTCAACCCCCAGACTCAGCCATTTCCGGACTGAAACCAGAGGAAATAGAGAGAGAGAGAAAAGAGAGAGAAAGGGGGAGAAAGGAGGAGACCCAGCACAAGGGAAGCTCGGGGAAGCAAGGGAGGACATCCCTAGACTGTGTAGGAGAGGTTTCCGGTCAGGAACAGACCGGAAAACGCCACAAAATCCGGCCAAACCAGATCTGAGTCGAAACAGAGGTGAGTGGCTTGAGTTGTTTCTGTGTAAGCTCGTTTTCATCGATGTTACTGTGTTATCTCGATGATTTGCTGCTTGTATTGGTTAGAGGAGATTTCAATGAAGATTTAGCAACAAACCACGCATGATTTGGTTGAAAAATGAGTGAGATATGATTGAATGAAGACTGAAGAAAAACAGGAAATTGCAGAACGTGAATCTGTCTTGTCAAATTACGAATCCTTTTTCTCTGTGTTACTGAAGTATTTCAATACTTGTTGCTTGAATTAGATAGAGGACATTTCAATGAACATTTAGCAACAAACGGCACGTAATTTGGTGGAGAAATGAGTGAGATATGGCCAAACGAAGTCGGACCAGAAAAATGTTTCACGAGAGCGAACAGAGCCGGAACGGACAGACTTTAAGGCTGGAACAGATGGTCTGGGTGACCCAGACCAGACGGTCTGGCATCCCCAGACCGAATGGTCTCCGTTCCTGGCCTCAAAAATTGTCCCGAGAGGCCCCGGGACAGCACGGGAGCCCTGGACCGACCGATCCACACCCTGGACCGACCGTTCTAGAGGACGGAACCCTTTTTCGGATGATTTTCGAATCCTGAGTGCGTGAGATGTGCGATATAACGATTCGAGTGACTCGTAGCGTGATTATACGGGGTAGTTTGCATGGCGTTAAGCGGTAGATCGATAAGGGACCGGATACCGTGATACGTGTGATCGTACTGGGGGATATATACATGATGTATGCCATGTGTGTAGCTTGCTCGTGCGTACGAGTCAAGCATGATTGTGTTTGTGGATGGTTGTGGACGCAACCATCACCGTCATGGACTTGACGGGCGTTTGAGACGCGATTAGTCGTGTGCGACACGACGGCCAACGTCATGGACTTGACGGGCGTGTGACGCGCTCCTAGTCATGGACTTGACTAGGGTATATGGCTGGAACCCTATGATGGACTCCATACGGGTGATATGATCGATTGTGTCACGCTGACTTGACACGGCCAACGTCATGGACTTGACGGGCGTGGAGGCGCCCCTAGTCATGGACTTGACTAGGGTATATGGCTGGACCCTTTGGTGGACTCCATACGGGTGTGTTTACTTTTCCGTAGTGTCATGGACTTGACATCGGTAGTCACGTGACGTGACAAGCGCTTGAGGCGATATTGTCG